TGCCCACCAACCCATCCCCAGCAGGACACTGTGGCAGCTCCAGGACTCGGATCTTGGGTGGGACAGGGAGAACTGGTCCCTGAGCGTGGCAGCAGCAAGGGGAGCACGGGGGACACAAGCCAAGCATCTCCTCACACAGCAAGCCAAACCCCAGGGGAGCACATCCCCCACCAAGATGGGATTCCAGCAAGGCACAAGCCCCTCCAGATGCCACCAGAGGCTGTGGGTGTGAGGGTGAGCAGAGGGTAGGGAAGACCTGGAGCCCCCAACCCACCAGGGCTAGCGGATGCTGCCGTCGCCTTCGCTGCTCTGCAGCTTCTCCCTCTCGATGGACCTCACCAGCTCCTGGACAAACTTCATCTCTGAGGCCACTTGCTTGGCCAAGGCCTCGTAGTGGTTCTCCAGCTTCCTGTAGCGGCGCTTGAGGCCGTTGGCTGCCTGCACCACGTTCCTGGTCTCCTCCTGAGCCTGTTTCTTCAGCGCCTCCGTCTTCTGCAGCTCCTGCCGGATCTGCCGCAGGTCTTGGCTGATGCTCTCGTTCTCCTCCTTGTACCACGACTCCTTCTCCTCATAGATGGACAGCAGGGCCTCGATGTCCTCCTGGAAGGACTTCTTGTTCCTCTCCAGCTCTCGGAGGCTCTCCTCGGCCGCAGCCACCTCCTCCATGACCTTGGAGAAGCGCTCGAAGTTGATGTAGGTGTTGTTTGGGGGCATGCTGGAGTGGGACTTGATGGTGTACTCCTTGAGGCGCGTGGTCTTCAGCCGGCGCCGCTCGGGCTTCTTGCCACTGTCCTCGTTACGGACGTTCCTCCTCTTGATGACCTGTGCCAAGGGACAGACAATGTGTAGGGCACAGCCAGGGCAGCAGGAGCTGGATGGTTCCAGCACCCAATCCCCAGAGCCCTGGCAGTGGCACCAAAGCACCTCCCATGGGGAGCTGAGGAGCAGCAGAGTTCCCTCAGCAAGGTCTGACAGGCCAAAAAGTGATGATTCTTGAAGTTCTCACCTTTATCCAAGAGTGCTCCAGGCTCTGGGCGATGGTCATACGTTTCCTGCAAATACAGCAAGGTTGGGATCAGGGCAGAGGCTTTGCTCCTGGTTCCCTCTTAAATCCTGGCACCACTTTGGGTGTGGATGAGCCTGGACAAACTCACTGCACCCACAGCACCACCAAGCAGAGCAGCATCCAACCCCCAGCCCCTCAGGCAGCCTCCCAAGAGAAATCCAGGCAGAAAATCCCATAGGAACATCCCAAATGATGTCCAACCACACAGCCTCACTGCTCCCAGCCCAGCCTGGAGCTCTGGGGGCTCAGCTCAGCCATCAATCCCTCCCAGACACCCTCAGGGGGATCCCAAAATTCACCCTATGGGGGAGAGACTCCATTTGGAGCTAACCCTGGTGCAGGCAGGAGAATGGAGTTGCCTGTAGGTGGTGGGTCAGGCAGGAGGGACCATCCCCTCTCCCAGTGGAAGCCCCAGCTCCATTCCCAGTCCCTCACTTGGGGTCCTTGACGAGCAGGCGGCGGATGAAGTCCTTGGCCAGCTCACTGGTGTTGCTGAAATACTCCTCATCGAAGTCATAGTTGACAGCAGAGATGTTGGTCAGTGTCTCCTGCTTTGTCTCCCCCAGGAAGGGAGAGGCTCCACTCAGCCTGTGGTGAGAGCAGGTTGGGTGACACCCACCCCAAGAAGGTTCCAGCCCAAGGTAAGGACTCACCTTGCACTGCCCACCCCTCCCACACCCTCTGTACTCACAGGATGTATGTGATGACCCCAATGCTCCTGCAAGAGAGAGGAAGAGGAGGCTGAAGCCTGCAGAGCACTGTGAGGACCTCTCTCCTCGTGCTTTTGGCATGAGGGATTAGCTGCTGGAGCCATGGGAAGGGAGGGAATCACTCACCACATATCAGCCTCCAGCCCCAGGGGCTCATAGTTCACAATTTCTGGGGCTTTAGGGGGAAAGAGGAAGGAAAAAAAGCTGATTCTGGGGGCAGGAAGCCTGTCTCCATTAATCCAAAGGTTCTGCCATCCCAAGAAACCCCTAGGAATGCCACCAGCCATGCCTCACCAACAAACTCTGGGGTGCCAAAGATGTTCTTGAACTCATTGCCAGCCTCGATCTTGTGGGCGATGCCGAAGTCGATGAGTTTGATGCGAGGGTTGGGCACGTTCTTGTCCAGCAGCATGATGTTCTCTGGCTGGAGGGGGACAGGAGCTGTGTCTGCCCTACCAGCCCCACCTCTGGGAACCTCCTGCTGCCTCCCTGGGCTCCAAGCCCCAGAGGGGAATGCATGGAATGGCTGCACCTCCCAGACCTCACCTGGGGACGCATCCCTGCTCCTAGCTCCATGCATTAAATGTTTTCACCTCCCAGATCTCACCTGGGGACTCATCCCTGCTCCCAGCACCAAGCACAGGTCATCTGCACCTCCCAGACCTCACCTGGGAGCTTGTCCTCCCTGCCCAGGACATCTGCACCTCCCAGACCTCACGTGGGGACTCATCCCTGCTCCTAGCTCCATGCATGGAATGTTTTCACCTCCCAGATCTCACCTGGGGACTCATCCCCACTCCCAGCTATATGCATGGAATGTTTGCACCTCCCAGACCTCACCTGGGAGCTTGTCCCCCCTGCCCAGGACATCTGCATCTCCCAGACCTCACCTAAGGACTCATCCCCACTCCCAGCTCCAAGCATGGAATATCTGCACCTCCCAAACCTCACCTGGGGACTCATCCCTGCTCCCAGCACCAAGTAAGACCTCACGTGGTGACTCATCCCTGCTCCTAGCTCCATGCATGGAATGTTTTCACCTCCCAGATCTCACCTGGGGACTCATCCCCACTCCCAGCTATATGCATGGAATGTTTTCACCTCCCAGATCTCACCTGGAGACTCATCCCTGCTCCCAGCTCCAAGTACAGGTCATCTGCACCTCCCAGACCTCACCTGGAGGCTTGTCCCTGCTCCCAACTCCATGCATGGAATGTTTTCACCTCCCAGACCCCACCTGGGGACTCATCCCTGCTCCCAGCTCTGTACATGGAATATTTGCACCTCCCACACCTCAACTGGGGATTCATCCCTGCTCCCAACTCCACACATAGAATGTTTGCACCTCCCAGACCTCACCTGTAGGCTCATCCCTGCTCCCAGCATAAGCCGCCTGCACCTCCCAGACCTCACCTAGGGACTCATCCCCACTCCCCAGGACATCTGCACCTCCCAGACCTCACCTGGGGACTCATCCC